CCGTTCCCCGATCTGTATTTATATATTTTAATAAATTATATATTTATTATTTATTATGTATGTACTTGGTATCCTCCCATGTAATTTATAAAATATAATCCGTATTACTTATGCGAGAAGCTCAAAAGGGCCCTTCACTCATTCACTAATAGGCTAAGACTCTCAAACCCTATTTGGAATCTTGGAGAATGAAGATCGCTATCGACTGGAGTGGAGAGTGGAGACGCAGTGACGGACCCTTGCTCATTTGAAGTCGGCGTTCCCCATAGGCTCATCTGAAGTCAGTGTTCCCCATAGGCTCATCTGAAGTCGGCGCTCCCCATAAGACAGAACTTCGCTCATCTGATTCTGACGCTCTTCGCTATCAACGGTCGACGATTTTATTCTTCTTCATCATCAAATCAGCAAATCTCCTTCATCTATAAGTGGTAATCTCCATAATCCCTGCTTCTAGACTCGATAAGTGTTGTGAATTTGTGATGTACTAGATTAGATAATTATTTGACATCCAGTTTCAGCTCTCTTAATTACCCATTGTTAATTTGTGATTGGGTTATTTTTTACTTTCTTGCTCTACTGCTCTAGTAATAATTAGCCTGTGTAATTGCTGTAATTTTGTGTGTAAATGATTTAAGAGTATAAATATTACTAAGTGTTGCTCTATTTTCTGTATAAAACTGTAGATGTGTAATTGCTATAATTTGTTTTGACTAGTTTAGTTTCAATTTAGTTAATTAGTTTGTATATTATTAGTTTAGCTTAACTTTTAGTTTAACATTGATTAGTTTGTGTAGTTGCTGTAATTTTTCTATGTAATTTTCAATTTTCTTTTTTTATAGTTGGTCTGTAAGGTCTGTTAGAGCTACAACAATTGTGTTGATTAACCACGATTGCTGTGATTAACCATGATTGCTTTGGTTAAATTGCTCTAAATGATATGTATTTCATTTTGTGTTGACTCTAAAAAATAATACTATTAGGATTCGTATGTTCTCCTAGTTAATGACTATAGTATAGTTCAACAAATTGGATTACTACATTTTGTGATTCTGTCCACCCATTTTGGTATGACATAAACCTTTTTTGTCTAAGCTGCTCTAATTTGTTTTGCACTAATAATATTATTTTCCATATTTGATGTTGCTCTGCACTTATATATATACTTTTATTGATAGGCTATGGCATCCCAAAGTGCTAGCACCCAAGATTCAATAGGTGTTAGTGGTGCACCAACAAATCAATGTGTACCAGTTGGTTCATCTACCGGTGAGGAGTCTAAAGAAGTGACTGCTTCAAAAGATCAAGAAGATCATATGACTGGGGGACAACGAAAGAAAAGAAGCAAATGGTGGGATTACTTTGACGAGATTGAGGTAAATAACACTAAAAAGGCGAAATGCCATGAGTGCCATAAGTTACTGGGAGGTGATCCAAAGAATGGTACTAGTCATTTGAAGGAGCACGTTAGCCGATGTCCAAGAAGGAAAAGAGGCGGAGATATAAAACAAATGGTCTTAAAGACCAATTCAAAAGGGGAGGTTTGTCATGCGTCTTATAATGAGGGAGAAGGGAGAATCGCACTAGCCAAGATGGTCATCTTGCACGAATATTCTCTTTCCATAGTCGAACATAGGGGATTTAGAGAATTCACAAGCACCATTCAGCCTCTTTTCAAATGTCCTTCACGCAATACCTTGAAAAGTGACATTTTGAAGGTTTATGCAGAAGAAAGATGCAAAGTTCTCAATTTATTAGAAGGTAATGATTGTAGGGTGGCTGTTACTACTGACATGTGGACTTCAACCAATCAAAAGAGGGGATTCATGGCAATCACAGCCCATTTCATTGATAAATCTTGGGTTTTACATAATCAAATCTTAAGGTACACGCACTATACTATTTTATAAACACATAGTAAAATTTTGTGTAGTTAAAGTTGCTGATTTTTATATCATGTCTTTGTTGTTGGGAATTGTTTTAATATTATATATCTAATTGGAGTCATTGATTTGATATTACACGTCATTGTATAATTGATAGTTGTTGTCATTTATATTTAGGTTCATATATGTGCCTTGCTCACATACAAGCGAAGCGTTGACAGAGGTATTGATTGAGGCTTTGATAGAGTGGAATCTGGACTCAAGATTATCTACTATTACAGTAGATAATTGCTCAACAAATGATAGCATGATTGGTAAGTTAACAAATAAATTGAATATTGAACATATGTTGAAAGATGGTGCCTTGTTACACATGCGTTGTTCAGCCCATATCCTTAATCTTGTTGTGAAGATTGGTCTAGAGGTTATTAAAGACTTTATTAATACTGTAAGAGATAGTGTGGTTTTCTGGACGGCATCTCCAAAGAGGGTAGAGAAATTTGAAGAGGTTTGTAGGGGAATGAAGTTGCCCTATACCAAAAAGTTAGGCTTGGATTGTCCGACTAGGTGGAACTCAACTTTTTTGATGTTAAAATCAGCTTTGCTTTATAAGAGTGTTTTTCCTAGGCTTAAAATGCGTGACTCACAGTATAAAGAAGTGCCTTGTGAAAGTGAGTGGGAGATTGCAAAAGAAGTGTGTGATAAATTAGAGTTGTTTTATTCTGCCACAGAAATGTTTTCTGGGACAAAATATCCAACTGCTAATTTATTTTTCCCAAAAATTTGTGAGATAAGATTAGAGTTAGAGGAATGGGCCCGTTCACCGGATGTAGTTATTAGTATAATGGCAGGAAGCATGCTGGGAAAGTTTAAGGATTATTGGTCAGTTGTTCATAAGTTGATGGGTGTTGCCGTGGTATTAGATCCGAGATATAAGATGGCTTTGCTTAGGTATTATCTTCCTATGGTATATCCGAAGGATCACGAGAAAGAAATTGATAATATTCAGCAACTTTGCTATGATTTGATCAAGGAATACCAAAGAAAAAAGGAGGATGTTATTTGTGATGAGAGTGAGACTAATTCAAGAAGTACGTTAACTGATCGCATGAGTGGATTTCAAACATTTGTGAAAAGACTGAAAACATCAAGTTCCAATTGTAGAACAGAGTTAGATCATTATTTGGATGATGATGTTTTGCCAATGACCGATGATTTCAATATTCTATTGTGGTGGAAAGTTAACGGGGTCAAGTACCCTACTTTGCAAGCCATTGCCAAAGATATTTTGGCAATTCCTGTTTCTACAGTTGCTTCAGAATCGGCATTTAGTGCTAGTGGGAGATTAGTTAGTCCTCATCGCAATCGGCTACATCCGAAGACCATAGAAGTATTAATGTGTGCTCAAAGTTGGTTGTGGAATAATATCAAAGGTAACTAAGTATCACAAACATATTTAGGTTTGTAACTAGTTTCCATTTTTTTTTGTTTTTATACTTGACTAATTCTGTTTTTTAACCTGTAGATGAAGAAGGGCCATTTGTTTCTGACGGTTATGCTTCAATATATGAAGACGATATTGATTTGTATGAACCTGGCGAAATGGCAGAAAAGGTATGTATTATTATTGTTAGCTTGTTTCTTTTTTTAAAAAAAATATTTTCCTACTGTTCATAAGGAAATCAATATGAAATCAACATATTATAGCCTATGATTGTATAAGTTGGTGTACCCATGAAGTAGCAGTGTAGCACCACTGTCCACTGCACCACCAGTTTCATAAATTCACATTAACATGTCCATTGGATTTAAGAATTATGGTTGTTTATGTTTATTCACAAAAACATGTCTATTGTTCAAACGCCCTTCTGATCTTTGAAACTTTGACTGAAGCTTTCATAGTGCTTCCAGATTTCAGCAATCCCCAAAACATGTCTATTTGATTTAAGAATTAGAGCATGTTTATTACAGTGGATCATGATTCATGTTGTCCTATTTTTAGCTAATATTTTTTATTACTCATTGCAGGTTTAAATGTTGTTGTGTTGCCTTACTTGAAGTTTGGAATGAGTTGCTCTATAGTTCCACTCATTTTGCTGGGATTTTGTACTGCAACTTTGCAAGTCTCTATTTTGTTTACAGTTTTATGCACTTCAAGGATTTGGATCAGTTGGATGTTTAACTTAAAATGATTTTGTAGTGTTATACTGTTATGATGATTAAGTATTTGACTTTAATTGCGTTGTTTATTGGCGATTTTCGATTTTTAGATCATTGATTGAAAACCCCCTGTATAGCAATACCAAATAACAATGGGACATTAAATCAAACGGTTATCCGCGGGTAAACCCGTTACCCGTTTAAACGGGTACAGTTCGGGTAAAAATTAACCGAACGGGTAACGGGGCAGTTTCGGGGAATGTAAATTACCCAACGGGGCGGTTACAGTTACAGGTATACCCGTCCCCGAACCGCCCCGTTGCCATCCCTAATTATAGCAATTACACATCTACAGTTTTATACAGAAAATAGAGCAACACTTAGTAATATTTATACTCTTAAATCATTTACACACAAAATTACAGCAATTACACAGGCTAATTATTACTAGAGCAGTAGAGCAAGAAAGTAAAAAATAACCCAATCACAAATTAACAATGGGTAATTAAGAGAGCTGAAACTGGATGTCAAATAATTATCTAATCTAGTACATCACAAATTCACAACACTTATCGAGTCTAGAAGCAGGGATTATGGAGATTACCACTTATAGATGAAGGAGATTTGCTGATTTGATGATGAAGAAGAATAAAATCGTCGACCGTTGATAGCGAAGAGCGTCAGAATCAGATGAGCGAAGTTCTGTCTTATGGGGAGCGCCGACTTCAGATGAGCCTATGGGGAACACCGACTTCAGATGAGCCTATGGGGAACGCCGACTTCAAATGAGCAAGGGTCCGTCACTGCGTCTCCACTCTCCACTCCAGTCGATAGCGATCTTCATTCTCCAAGATTCCAAATAGGGTTTGAGAGTCTTAGCCTATTAGTGAATGAGTGAAGGGCCCTTTTGAGCTTCTCGCATAAGTAATACGGATTATATTTTATAAATTACATGGGAGGATACCAAGTACATACATAATAAATAATAAATATATAATTTATTAAAATATATAAATACAGATCGGGGAACGGTTCGGGTAACTGTACCCGAACTAATCGGGGCGGTTACGGGGCGGGTAACGGGTCGGGTATGTATAAAACCGTACCCGCCCCGTTACCCGTTTCCATAAATCGGGTATTCCCCGCCCCGTACCCGTTACCCAGTCAACACAGTTTTCCCCGTTTTGACCGGTTCGGTTCGGTACGGGTATCCATCAGTTCGGGTTAAATTGCCATCTCTAACCGTCAGAAACAAATGGCCCTTCTTCATCTACAGGTTAAAAAACAGAATTAGTCAAGTATAAAAACAAAAAAAAATGGAAACTAGTTACAAACCTAAATATGTTTGTGATACTTAGTTACCTTTGATATTATTCCACAACCAACTTTGAGCACACATTAATACTTCTATGGTCTTCGGATGTAGCCGATTGCGATGAGGACTAACTAATCTCCCACTAGCACTAAATGCCGATTCTGAAGCAACTGTAGAAACAGGAATTGCCAAAATATCTTTGGCAATGGCTTGCAAAGTAGGGTACTTGACCCCGTTAACTTTCCACCACAATAGAATATTGAAATCATCGGTCATTGGCAAAACATCATCATCCAAATAATGATCTAACTCTGTTCTACAATTGGAACTTGATGTTTTCAGTCTTTTCACAAATGTTTGAAATCCACTCATGCGATCAGTTAACGTACTTCTTGAATTAGTCTCACTCTCATCACAAATAACATCCTCCTTTTTTCTTTGGTATTCCTTGATCAAATCATAGCAAAGTTGCTGAATATTATCAATTTCTTTCTCGTGATCCTTCGGATATACCATAGGAAGATAATACCTAAGCAAAGCCATCTTATATCTCGGATCTAATACCACGGCAACACCCATCAACTTATGAACAACTGACCAATAATCCTTAAACTTTCCCAGCATGCTTCCTGCCATTATACTAATAACTACATCCGGTGAACGGGCCCATTCCTCTAACTCTAATCTTATCTCACAAATTTTTGGGAAAAATAAATTAGCAGTTGGATATTTTGTCCCAGAAAACATTTCTGTGGCAGAATAAAACAACTCTAATTTATCACACACTTCTTTTGCAATCTCCCACTCACTTTCACAAGGCACTTCTTTATACTGTGAGTCACGCATTTTAAGCCTAGGAAAAACACTCTTATAAAGCAAAGCTGATTTTAACATCAAAAAAGTTGAGTTCCACCTAGTCGGACAATCCAAGCCTAACTTTTTGGTATAGGGCAACTTCATTCCCCTACAAACCTCTTCAAATTTCTCTACCCTCTTTGGAGATGCCGTCCAGAAAACCACACTATCTCTTACAGTATTAATAAAGTCTTTAATAACCTCTAGACCAATCTTCACAACAAGATTAAGGATATGGGCTGAACAACGCATGTGTAACAAGGCACCATCTTTCAACATATGTTCAATATTCAATTTATTTGTTAACTTACCAATCATGCTATCATTTGTTGAGCAATTATCTACTGTAATAGTAGATAATCTTGAGTCCAGATTCCACTCTATCAAAGCCTCAATCAATACCTCTGTCAACGCTTCGCTTGTATGTGGGCAAGGCACATATATGAACCTAAATATAAATGACAACAACTATCAATTATACAATGACGTGTAATATCAAATCAATGACTCCAATTAGATATATAATATTAAAACAATTCCCAACAACAAAGACATGATATAAAAATCAGCAACTTTAACTACACAAAATTTTACTATGTGTTTATAAAATAGTATAGTGCGTGTACCTTAAGATTTGATTATGTAAAACCCAAGATTTATCAATGAAATGGGCTGTGATTGCCATGAATCCCCTCTTTTGATTGGTTGAAGTCCACATGTCAGTAGTAACAGCCACCCTACAATCATTACCTTCTAATAAATTGAGAACTTTGCATCTTTCTTCTGCATAAACCTTCAAAATGTCACTTTTCAAGGTATTGCGTGAAGGACATTTGAAAAGAGGCTGAATGGTGCTTGTGAATTCTCTAAATCCCCTATGTTCGACTATGGAAAGAGAATATTCGTGCAAGATGACCATCTTGGCTAGTGCGATTCTCCCTTCTCCCTCATTATAAGACGCATGACAAACCTCCCCTTTTGAATTGGTCTTTAAGACCATTTGTTTTATATCTCCGCCTCTTTTCCTTCTTGGACATCGGCTAACGTGCTCCTTCAAATGACTAGTACCATTCTTTGGATCACCTCCCAGTAACTTATGGCACTCATGGCATTTCGCCTTTTTAGTGTTATTTACCTCAATCTCGTCAAAGTAATCCCACCATTTGCTTCTTTTCTTTCGTTGTCCCCCAGTCATATGATCTTCTTGATCTTTTGAAGCAGTCACTTCTTTAGACTCCTCACCGGTAGATGAACCAACTGGTACACATTGATTTGTTGGTGCACCACTAACACCTATTGAATCTTGGGTGCTAGCACTTTGGGATGCCATAGCCTATCAATAAAAGTATATATATAAGTGCAGAGCAACATCAAATATGGAAAATAATATTATTAGTGCAAAACAAATTAGAGCAGCTTAGACAAAAAAGGTTTATGTCATACCAAAATGGGTGGACAGAATCACAAAATGTAGTAATCCAATTTGTTGAACTATACTATAGTCATTAACTAGGAGAACATACGAATCCTAATAGTATTATTTTTTAGAGTCAACACAAAATGAAATACATATCATTTAGAGCAATTTAACCAAAGCAATCATGGTTAATCACAGCAATCGTGGTTAATCAACACAATTGTTGTAGCTCTAACAGACCTTACAGACCAACTATAAAAAAAGAAAATTGAAAATTACATAGAAAAATTACAGCAACTACACAAACTAATCAATGTTAAACTAAAAGTTAAGCTAAACTAATAATATACAAACTAATTAACTAAATTGAAACTAAACTAGTCAAAACAAATTATAGCAATTACACATCTACAGTTTTATACAGAAAATAGAGCAACACTTAGTAATATTTATACTCTTAAATCATTTACACACAAAATTACAGCAATTACACAGGCTAATTATTACTAGAGCAGTAGAGCAAGAAAGTAAAAAATAACCCAATCACAAATTAACAATGGGTAATTAAGAGAGCTGAAACTGGATGTCAAATAATTATCTAATCTAGTACATCACAAATTCACAACACTTATCGAGTCTAGAAGCAGGGATTATGGAGATTACCACTTATAGATGAAGGAGATTTGCTGATTTGATGATGAAGAAGAATAAAATCATCGACCGTTGATAGCGAAGAGCGTCAGAATCAGATGAGCGAAGTTCTGTCTTATGGGGAGCGCCGACTTCAGATGAGCCTATGGGGAACACTGACTTCAGATGAGCCTATGGGGAACGCCGACTTCAAATGAGCAAGGGTCCGTCACTGCGTCTCCACTCTCCACTCCAGTCGATAGCGATCTTCATTCTCCAAGATTCCAAATAGGGTTTGAGAGTCTTAGCCTATTAGTGAATGAGTGAAGGGCCCTTTTGAGCTTCTCGCATAAGTAATACGGATTATATTTTATAAATTACATGGGAGGATACCAAGTACATACATAATAAATAATAAATATATAATTTATTAAAATATATAAATACAGATCGGGGAACGGTTCGGGTAACTGTACCCGAACTAATCGGGGCGGTTACGGGGCGGGTAACGGGTCGGGTATGTATAAAACCGTACCCGCCCCGTTACCCGTTTCCATAAATCGGGTATTCCCCGCCCCGTACCCGTTACCCAGTCAACACAGTTTTCCCCCGTTTTGACCGGTTCGGTTCGGTACGGGTATCCATCAGTTCGGGTTAAATTGCCATCTCTAGCTATAATTTGTTTTGACTAGTTTAGTTTCAATTTAGTTAATTAGTTTGTATATTATTAGTTTAGCTTAACTTTTAGTTTAACATTGATTAGTTTGTGTAGTTGCTGTAATTTTTCTATGTAATTTTCAATTTTCTTTTTTTATAGTTGGTCTGTAAGGTCTGTTAGAGCTACAACAATTGTGTTGATTAACCACGATTGCTGTGATTAACCATGATTGCTTTGGTTAAATTGCTCTAAATGATATGTATTTCATTTTGTGTTGACTCTAAAAAATAATACTATTAGGATTCGTATGTTCTCCTAGTTAATGACTATAGTATAGTTCAACAAATTGGATTACTACATTTTGTGATTCTGTCCACCCATTTTGGTATGACATAAACCTTTTTTGTCTAAGCTGCTCTAATTTGTTTTGCACTAATAATATTATTTTCCATATTTGATGTTGCTCTGCACTTATATATATACTTTTATTGATAGGCTATGGCATCCCAAAGTGCTAGCACCCAAGATTCAATAGGTGTTAGTGGTGCACCAACAAATCAATGTGTACCAGTTGGTTCATCTACCGGTGAGGAGTCTAAAGAAGTGACTGCTTCAAAAGATCAAGAAGATCATATGACTGGGGGACAACGAAAGAAAAGAAGCAAATGGTGGGATTACTTTGACGAGATTGAGGTAAATAACACTAAAAAGGCGAAATGCCATGAGTGCCATAAGTTACTGGGAGGTGATCCAAAGAATGGTACTAGTCATTTGAAGGAGCACGTTAGCCGATGTCCAAGAAGGAAAAGAGGCGGAGATATAAAACAAATGGTCTTAAAGACCAATTCAAAAGGGGAGGTTTGTCATGCGTCTTATAATGAGGGAGAAGGGAGAATCGCACTAGCCAAGATGGTCATCTTGCACGAATATTCTCTTTCCATAGTCAAACATAGGGGATTTAGAGAATTCACAAGCACCATTCAGCCTCTTTTCAAATGTCCTTCACGCAATACCTTGAAAAGTGACATTTTGAAGGTTTATGCAGAAGAAAGATGCAAAGTTCTCAATTTATTAGAAGGTAATGATTGTAGGGTGGCTGTTACTACTGACATGTGGACTTCAACCAATCAAAAGAGGGGATTCATGGCAATCACAGCCCATTTCATTGATAAATCTTGGGTTTTACATAATCAAATCTTAAGGTACACGCACTATACTATTTTATAAACACATAGTAAAATTTTGTGTAGTTAAAGTTGCTGATTTTTATATCATGTCTTTGTTGTTGGGAATTGTTTTAATATTATATATCTAATTGGAGTCATTGATTTGATATTACACGTCATTGTATAATTGATAGTTGTTGTCATTTATATTTAGGTTCATATATGTGCCTTGCCCACATACAAGCGAAGCGTTGACAGAGGTATTGATTGAGGCTTTGATAGAGTGGAATCTGGACTCAAGATTATCTACTATTACAGTAGATAATTGCTCAACAAATGATAGCATGATTGGTAAGTTAACAAATAAATTGAATATTGAACATATGTTGAAAGATGGTGCCTTGTTACACATGCGTTGTTCAGCCCATATCCTTAATCTTGTTGTGAAGATTGGTCTAGAGGTTATTAAAGACTTTATTAATACTGTAAGAGATAGTGTGGTTTTCTGGACGGCATCTCCAAAGAGGGTAGAGAAATTTGAAGAGGTTTGTAGGGGAATGAAGTTGCCCTATACCAAAAAGTTAGGCTTGGATTGTCCGACTAGGTGGAACTCAACTTTTTTGATGTTAAAATCAGCTTTGCTTTATAAGAGTGTTTTTCCTAGGCTTAAAATGCGTGACTCACAGTATAAAGAAGTGCCTTGTGAAAGTGAGTGGGAGATTGCAAAAGAAGTGTGTGATAAATTAGAGTTGTTTTATTCTGCCACAGAAATGTTTTCTGGGACAAAATATCCAACTGCTAATTTATTTTTCCCAAAAATTTGTGAGATAAGATTAGAGTTAGAGGAATGGGCCCGTTCACCGGATGTCGTTATTAGTATAATGGCAGGAAGCATGCTGGGAAAGTTTAAGGATTATTGGTCAGTTGTTCATAAGTTGATGGGTGTTGCCGTGGTATTAGATCCGAGATATAAGATGGCTTTGCTTAGGTATTATCTTCCTATGGTATATCCGAAGGATCACGAGAAAGAAATTGATAATATTCAGCAACTTTGCTATGATTTGATCAAGGAATACCAAAGAAAAAAGGAGGATGTTATTTGTGATGAGAGTGAGACTAATTCAAGAAGTACGTTAACTGATCGCATGAGTGGATTTCAAACATTCGTGAAAAGACTGAAAACATCAAGTTCCAATTGTAGAACAGAGTTAGATCATTATTTGGATGATGATGTTTTGCCAATGACCGATGATTTCAATATTCTATTGTGGTGGAAAGTTAACGGGGTCAAGTACCCTACTTTGCAAGCCATTGCCAAAGATATTTTGGCAATTCCTGTTTCTACAGTTGCTTCAGAATCGGCATTTAGTGCTAGTGGGAGATTAGTTAGTCCTCATCGCAATCGGCTACATCCGAAGACCATAGAAGTATTAATGTGTGCTCAAAGTTGGTTGTGGAATAATATCAAAGGTAACTAAGTATCACAAACATATTTAGGTTTGTAACTAGTTTCCATTTTTTTTTTGTTTTTATACTTGACTAATTCTGTTTTTTAACCTGTAGATGAAGAAGGGCCATTTGTTTCTGACGGTTATGCTTCAATATATGAAGACGATATTGATTTGTATGAACCTGGCGAAATGGCAGAAAAGGTATGTATTATTATTGTTAGCTTGTTTCTTTTTTTTAAAAAAATATTTTCCTACTGTTCATAAGGAAATCAATATGAAATCAACATATTATAGCCTATGATTGTATAAGTTGGTGTACCCATGAAGTAGCAGTGTAGCACCACTGTCCACTGCACCACCAGTTTCATAAATTCACATTAACATGTCCATTGGATTTAAGAATTATGGTTGTTTATGTTTATTCACAAAAACATGTCTATTGTTCAAACGCCCTTCTGATCTTTGAAACTTTGACTGAAGCTTTCATAGTGCTTCCAGATTTCAGCAATCCCCAAAACATGTCTATTTGATTTAAGAATTAGAGCATGTTTATTACAGTGGATCATGATTCATGTTGTCCTATTTTTAGCTAATATTTTTTATTACTCATTGCAGGTTTAAATGTTGTTGTGTTGCCTTACTTGAAGTTTGGAATGAGTTGCTCTGTAGTTCCACTCATTTTGCTGGGATTTTGTACTGCAACTTTGCAAGTCTCTATTTTGTTTACAGTTTTATGCACTTCAAGGATTTGGATCAGTTGGATGTTTAACTTAAAATGATTTTGTAGTGTTATACTGTTATGATGATTAAGTATTTGACTTTAATTGCGTTGTTTATTGGCGATTTTCGATTTTTAGATCATTGATTGAAAACCCCCTGTATAGCAATACCAAATAACAATGGGACATTAAATCAAACGGTTATCCGCGGGTAAACCCGTTACCCGTTTAAACGGGTACAGTTCGGGTAAAAATTAACCGAACGGGTAACGGGGCAGTTTCGGGGAATGTAAATTACCCAACGGGGCGGTTACAGTTACAGGTATACCCGTCCCCGAACCGCCCCGTTGCCATCCCTACTGACGGTTATGCTTCAATATATGAAGACGATATTGATTTGTATGAACCTGGCGAAATGGCAGAAAAGGTATGTATTATTATTGTTAGCTTGTTTCTTTTTTTTAAAAAAATATTTTCCTACTGTTCATAAGGAAATCAATATGAAATCAACATATTATAGCCTATGATTGTATAAGTTGGTGTACCCATGAAGTAGCAGTGTAGCACCACTGTCCACTGCACCACCAGTTTCATAAATTCACATTAACATGTCCATTGGATTTAAGAATTATGGTTGTTTATGTTTATTCACAAAAACATGTCTATTGTTCAAACGCCCTTCTGATCTTTGAAACTTTGACTGAAGCTTTCATAGTGCTTCCAGATTTCAGCAATCCCCAAAACATGTCTATTTGATTTAAGAATTAGAGCATGTTTATTACAGTGGATCATGATTCATGTTGTCCTATTTTTAGCTAATATTTTTTATTACTCATTGCAGGTTTAAATGTTGTTGTGTTGCCTTACTTGAAGTTTGGAATGAGTTGCTCTGTAGTTCCACTCATTTTGCTGGGATTTTGTACTGCAACTTTGCAAGTCTCTATTTTGTTTACAGTTTTATGCACTTCAAGGATTTGGATCAGTTGGATGTTTAACTTAAAATGATTTTGTAGTGTTATACTGTTATGATGATTAAGTATTTGACTTTAATTGCGTTGTTTATTGGCGATTTTCGATTTTTAGATCATTGATTGAAAACCCCCTGTATAGCAATACCAAATAACAATGGGACATTAAATCAAACGGTTATCCGCGGG